TCTTCTTTAAAATGTCTGATGAGAGTACATACAATTAGGCCACGTTGCTTACATTTGGAAGGCAAAGTCTACATTGTAGCTATGTCTTTTACACAAGGAGTGTCCCATATATTGTATCCACTGGGAAGGAACCAACCAGCAGCCCCTCCCTTCACTCTCCTTGGATTCAATTAAGTTTTTCTTTCATGCCAACATATTATTAATATACAACATGAGTATTGAGTATATCTGATGCCTATCGTTCCATTCTTGGGACACTTAACTCAGAAGAACATTCTCCAAATCTATCCAAGTTTCAACAAAGGATGCAAAACCCGTCTTTTTATACACCCGAATAGCATTCCATGATATACATATACCACCATTCATTCATCTATTCATGTGTCAAAGGGCATTTGTTTCTGCATCTTCGCAATTGTAAATAGGGTACTATAAGCTTCACTTCCACTTTGATACTGTCTTTGGCTCTCTTCCTTCTCATATACAATCCATTTCTCCACACAGCAGCCAGAATAAACATTACAAATATAAATCAAACCACAATTAGAATAAAATCCAAATACTTTAATATGGTTTACAAGACCTTGTGTGATATAGAACCTACCTATTTTTAACCATATTGATCCCTTGCTCTTCTCTACTCTGTTAATTAAAATTTATGAGAGGCCATTATATTAAACTGAGTTCCTGCACTAGGCCCCAGTAAACGAACCAAAAATGGAGTCACTCAAGCTAAGTGCCACATAGTCAAATCAAGTATGAAAGAAACAACAACATGAAACCCAAACTTTGGTTATATATCCTCTAATGGAACATATATTGGAATCACACTGTATATAGTTCCATTATTTTTCTTTACTCATCTAGAGATAATGTATATTTTAAATGGAATTCAGGGTTTAAAGTCAGCATATAAGATAAAACCCTTGAAGCACAGGGTCAAAATCACCCCTGAGGGTACCTTAGGAAGGCACACGTTGAAAGTGATGAGCCTGTCTGCTCAATAAAGTCACTCATCTACTTTTTCCTGCAGCCTTGCAAAATATAATTGTACTTAAATCTGAGCACCTGATGAAGTACCCCGCATGTGCTAAGATACCACTTTCTACCAAAAGGACATTTCTTAAAACTCTAGAATCATACTCAGGCAAACAAAATAAGATGCTCACACTATAAAAGGCAAATGAAGACTATTATAAAGAACTCTGCCTTTTGGAGACTGATTCACAGTTGTCTGTTTTGTGATCTGAATTCGCTAATGATTCCAGTAACTCCTGGGAAGTTGCTAATGATTACAGTAATTCTTGGGGTTAATATCTTGTTTTGCAGAATTTCC